CTTGATTAAAATAAATCTTTATTATGTTTGATAACCGAGTGGTTATTGTAATAAAGATCGTTTATATGAATTCGTACAATTAGATTTATTAAACAACCATTACTATTAAAATAATATAAAAACATAATAATATCATATTAATAAATCAAATAATATATCTATTTAAATAATAGAAAATAATTACCTATGCTAAAAGATAAATATAAGGACCTTTCAAATACCTGGTTGTATTTCTTTATGATTTACACGTTAAATTTGATGAAAAAAGCTACAGCATCGTCTATTGGCGCTAGAGTATTGAATTGATATTATGCATGTTAAGAGATAAGCACCAGTCATAGAAGATTGAGTATAAAAAAAAAAGATGCATTGATGCCATTCTTGAAAGTATTTGTTGCTATAATTGAAATTCAACAGTAACACTATTTGACCCAAATGATAGATGATGTATTTCAAGTTATGAAGCAATTTCTATAATAAATTTAAAAGATAATTTGGAAATTAAACAATTATTACTAATGAAAAATTATTAAAGTAATCCATAAATAATACAATACAATTTAATGAAAAATTTCTCTTACTTGTAAATATACAACGATACCTTAAATCATAAAAAATATAGAACTGGTGGAACATAAGTTCTGTTTCTATACACCTAAATAATAGATCAAGTAAAAAAATCTTTATAGCATCATCTAAATCTCTATCGATAATTGTTCGCAACCTTCTGAACAATAAGATACACAATTTAAAAATCTCGACTACGCCGATAACTGGACTTTCATGGTCTTTCTCCTTCACACTTTTGTTTTCTATAAATATAAAAACAAATTTAGAACTGAACCAAAAAAATTAGAGAACAGAATTCTTAAAATCAAAGTATATTCATATTTTTAAATTTACAAAACATAAAATCTAATAAAATTATTTTAAGTGGTATACGCCAAATAGTCTAACTAATTTATATATCTCTTTCAGTATACGTACTTTGAATGCTGCTAACAAAATCCGACAGCATATTTGAGAACCCGTCTTCATTTAATTGATACTCTCAATTTAGGTATATTGATCGGAACGCGCAATAATTAAATAATTTGTATATAATAAGCGGGGACATTTATTTGATATTATTTTACTTTTAATTGTTTAACTAATGTAATGTTCTTGCCAGATTTTTCAATTATTAGAAAAGAAGCCATAAATAATGTTCCAATTCTGGCCAATTTAACATGTATTTTTATAAAGAATACTAAATCAGCAAAACGTTACATTGAGAAATTAAATCATTTTAAATAAGTTAAATACCGATCACTCACCACGTTATAACATTTTTCTACTATACAAATAATCTGAGCTCATTAACTTCAGACGCTCTTTTATGATGAACTCAAATCACTATAAGGTTCTAAGATCTATTCTAATAAAAAAGATTTTATTTTAAAATATTCTTTATTCCCAATTAAATTAACCATATCGACATTAATTTGAATTCTGGAATTAATGTATATTATATATTATTATCCAAAAAAAATTACTTCCTTCACAACTTTCTTTCTTATTATCAATTACTATAGAATATGCCTAACAAGTCTATCTTCCTCGTTATATTTGAGATCATTTCCTTCGATCCGTGATTCGAAATTTTCCTGTGGCTCCGATTCTTTGCTTGTTAAGTTATTCTCGTTTCTTTTATTATCCACTTGTATCAGCTATAACATTTCCAATCATTGTAACTTCCAGAAGAGCAATACGCACCACCGGAAAAATAACGTTACGTATTTGTCTTAAGCGCCATAACAAGAACGCTGATAATGATAATCTCACTATCAGCTATAACATGTGTCTGTTGCTAAAATGGATTCCATCGGTCTTTATATGTTCAATATCTAATCCATATTATATATGATTGCGGGTTTGGTCGATTTATCAAACGTAAAGACATGGTTATTGATTAACTTTCGTCTCTTTCAATTTATTTTTAATCTCCTCTACTTTCTTTTGGGCCACTCCCTCTACTGCTTCTCAAAATTTAACATCTGAATTTCTGAATTTCGGTGGACGCCATATTTCTTTTAAATAAATAAGGTGGTTGAACAATTCTAATAAATAATCACAAACAGTACAACATAGCAATACAAAACTCTAGCTTCGGATAAAAAAATTAATACCTTTTGTCCTTACGAGAAAGTAATATGAGATTATCAGTTTGAGATTGAGTGATATAAATATTTTTTTACGTTACTCGGCAAGTATCATCACACCAAATGTGGAATACACGTGCTCATCTGGTAACCTTTCAACAGTTTCGGCGAGCGCAGTGAATGCGACGATCTTGCAATTAAGAAGAGTGCCTTCTTACATTCATCAGAAATCGCATTGGCCTGCCCAAGTCATTCCCATTAGACCGTCGATGGTTTCATAAAAGACAAAGCTATATCCAATCTTGGAATGCGAACAGCAACTTAAATTCTTTAGAGAAGTGTATCCTATGAGCTGTATCACTGTGTGCTTGTGATTTAGAACGTCATTTCGATCAAATCTATGCTGTAACTAAAGTTATGAAAAATTCCTTTTTCCTTTCCATTTTCCCTAATAGATATTTGAAGTATTATCTCCTAAATTAATACAATCTATATCAATAATATCATCAGAAGGCAGATTTCTTTGTGTATTGCCAGCACTGCTGTAATAACAGTCATAGTAGTGATATTAGCAAATTTTCATACGTTGCTGCCTAACAGGATGACCATCTACATATCACATAATCATAGAGAGATAGTGAAAGTATGAATGTTTAATAAATTAAGACGACAAATTAAGACGACGAAGATCAAATTAAAAGAGAAATTTTGAACTTTACGCGATTTCCATGAAGTCTGACAATTATTGCGATCAACAAAATTTCTAAGCCACCGAATAAATTTTTATTGCTACTAAATAATCATTTATATTACGCGAGAAAAATGTGATGTATCGGAAAAATTCGTAAAACAACTACTATATCGTGTAACATACAAAACATGAAACGATATTTATACAACATATCTTGTCCCACGGGACATTATGTGTTTTGATCTTTTTAAAAACACTTCCCAAACTTTTACTTCTTATATATTTTTCTTGCCGTAACTTTAATATACTGGCAAGTTATAATATGTTTTTTAAATTCTTTATTAGATACTCTCTAAGTGCATCCCTTGGGACCATAGTAAGATAATAGTAGAATGTGCACTTAGATAAGGTGTGCATTTATAGAGAGTAAAATATTAATAAGTTGGGACAGCCACCGGTACTTAAAGAGAATTTATATAGTGCATGCACTTATAGAGGGTGCATTTATAGAGGTGTGTGTAAATATTTTATAATTTTTTTAGTTAAGTGTAAAAGCGTTCTGATCAGGGTGATCATCTGGCATTATTCATTCCACGTTCTATTATTATTTTTTCTTAGTTAACTACCAATGAACAGATAATGAAATTACCGATAACATATTAAGAACATGAGAATAATGGGTAATATATTTTGATGTACCGATATAACGCTTCATAGAACATGAATATTTCGATCAAAGAGGTATTTATATATTATAACTATAAGACGACTGTGATGACTTGCATTTAGATGTATAATTTTTCTCAAGTAAATATCTTTATAATTCAATCTGCAAAATATACAAAAACTTAAGTCAAATGATCAGAGAGCATGGTTATAGCCAATACCTCTTAATGTTCTAAAATCATCAGACAATCATACGCCTTGATCTGGGTAATGTATGAATGATTTTATGATTTTATGTATGTATGATTTTTTTTCATTAATACATACGTATGACCCTTCTATGTTTATATTTAATAATCAAGTATATTATTTAAATTGTTATTATAAAATTGATACACAAGAACAAAAAATCGAAACAGAGATTTAAGAGGTTTTATTTATATAAAATACAAATTCCTAATTCATATTATTTTTTTTCATTTTTTCTTTTTTGCTACTTTGATATAGGGTTTCCCTTTTCACTGACATCTACGTGATTTTCAGCTACTGAAAATTTGAGAAGGCAAAATTCTACCAGGATTAAAATTTTTTTTAATTACATAATATATAATTTGGAAAAACTCTAATTGACGGCATCGTATCAAATCCAAATTCTCTATGATGTTAGTGTTATTATGAGGCGAAATAAACAAAGTGAGAGAATCATCTACACATTGAAAAATTTGGATACTTACAGAATACCACCCAGGATATTCCACAAACTTTCCTTTCAAAAATGACATCGCCTTTCTCAAAATCGTCAATTTAGGTTGATATACAGTATTTCGGTCAGACGGAATAAAAACCTTTATCTTAGGTTAATGACCTTGGTCGCACCACTATTATCTATTCTCGAATGATTTCTTTGAGCGTGTAATCTTGAGTCAGACGTTCTGTAGAATTATGTCCGTATGTAATAGTTGAGATTTTAGTGGGAAATTTGTTAGTAAAGTGAATAATCCAAATTTCTTTTTTTTTTTAAAAAAAAAAAAAAGCAATCCGAAGTAATACGAAATTTTTTTCTCATGAAAAAAAATTGGCTTCACACAATCACAAGGGAATGATAACCAAAGGAGAAATCCCTCCCGCTTTTTTCTCTTAAAATCAGCCCGATGAAAACATTTTCCAGATGACATAAACTATGTTCTTACATAACAATATCATACTTCCTTATAGAGAGGTATGAAAATTCATCAAATCATTACCATCACAAATAGATATAATTTATTCATAATTACGAAAAAAAAAAATTTTTTCGTGTCAACAAATATAATATATTACGTTATTTATCCATGAAAAAAAAAATAAATCTATAATCATACGAAAAAAAAGATGTAAATTAAAGGAAAAAAAATAAAATAAATAAAAAAGAAATAATCTTAGATCTAACCAAAAAAGAATATACATTGCATGGAACAAATAACAAAATTTACTTTTAAAAGAATTGTAGAACAACGCACAGAAAATATGTACAAAATAGGAAAAACATAACACATACTACCAGCAAGCTTTTAGAATAGCGTTGCCTTATCATATAGAAGAATTTTGACGTCATCAAGGTTTGCGTCACATGCGGCTAAAATTTCTTCTAAATCATCGAGAATTTTGCTGGTCTTGTTGTTTAGTTCTTCAAATTTAATTTGGATTCTTGAAATTCCTTTCTCCTTCTCCGGGCGTTTACTTTCAAGTTGGTCGAGTATATACGCTGTCCTTAATATGTCTCGCCAAGTTTCCATGATGATTAGGATTTGTGATATAACCTCAATTCTTTCTTGATTTTGTTCTGCATCGAATGTTAAAATATGATTTAGCAGACATATGTCTGCGAACATATTTACATCCTCAACTTCAAGATCCGCGGCTTCGATTTTGGGTACATTAAGAATAGCCTTCATAACATCGTCTGTATCGTATTCTCTCTTTTTGGACAACGTTTGATTATTTGACCGATATTCATTTACTTTCACAGTTATATCGGTTATATTTACGGTTGGGTAATTAAAGTTTGAACTTTTTTGACTGATGGTTCTTTCCATGGTATTGTATATTTCTTGTTGTCTCTTTGAAACTTTATAATTTTGCGAATTTGGAATCGTATTAATTTCGGTTTTCATTTTTACAAAATAAAGATTAGAAAAATAAAAAAATTTTGGGAGTGAAAGACAATATTATGGCAAAGAAAGAGAGAGAGAGAAAATAAAAACGCGAAGGAAATAGGTAAAAAACAAGAATTACTTATTTATAAGTGAATGATAGTGTATGTCGTCATGTAAACAATACCGATTTAGTAGACTCTACTTTTTCAAAAGAGAAATTAGTTATAAATTGGCCAATAAAAAACGGAGTAAACAAAAACAACGGCATTTGTTGATGCACAGAGTAAGAACTTTTCAAGCATTGCATATAACAAAAGAACAGAAAATATCCAAATATCCATTGTATGTATTTATTTATTTATTTTTTAATTGACTAATGCATGTTTTCTTTTTGACTAGTGTAAATTAGTTATTTTTTTTATTTTGATGATGGATCTACATTTTCAATTGATTATATATAGTTGATCAAAATCTATAGTATATCATAGTATTATCTATGCGTTATTTTTACGATAAGGCTATATTTTTTTTTCAAATGTATAACGAAAGATATTTTGTGTGACATGTTGTGTAATAATACACCACTTGGTTTATATACTATATGTATCACGCAATCTGCTGCGGAAAAATTCAAATTTACCGGCGCGTGGCGCGTGATAAAATACTAACGATCTTTTTTTACTAACTTTTTTTTTTCCTTCTCTTTTTTTTGTTCTTCCCTTTCTCTTCCTCTCTTTCGTTTCCCCTCTCCTTTTCCTCTCTTCAACCTTCCCTTTCACCCAAATTAAATGTTTTTCTCAAAGTGAAAAATTTTTCAGGTTACGTTCTCGTTTCAGCGGATCTCTTGTGGAAATGTAAAATTTTTTCTTTAATTAATTTTTTTTTTCGTCCCCCCTTTTTATAGGTTTGTCTTCATTTCGGTCTTCAGACGCTCGGGTATTTGAAATCTTGAAGGAAGCAACACCGATATTATAGTCCTTACAGTTATGATAATGTATTAGGTGTGTTATTTATAGATCTTGTGGAGCGTTAAATCAATAACCAACAATGACACTTATTATCTTCTCTTGGGTTTATTGTTTTTAACTTCCTTTCTTTTAATTTATAGATTTACTTTTTCAAATCCTACGGAGATGATCTTTTTCATCATCTAAAAATCCTAATCCTCAGTATTACCGTACATCACGCATGGTTTGTCTTCATTTCGGTCTTCAGACGCTCGGAAATTTGAAATCTTAGAAGGAAGCAACACCGATATTACAGTCCTTACAGTTATGATAATGTATCATGTGCGTTATTATATATCTTGTGCTATCTCTCTTAGTTTGTTGTTTTATTTTAAAATAACTTCCTTTCTTTTAATTTATAGATTTACTTTTTCAAATCCTATCGCTATGGAGATGATCTTTTTCATCATCTAAAAATCCTAATCCTCAGTATTACAGTATATCACGTATGGGTAGATTACTATAATTACTTTATCCGCTTTTTAGATTTTCTGGAAATTCTGATCCAATTCTCGATAATTCACTAGGTCTTAAAAAATAATGCAAATAATTAAAGGTGATGCAAACTCAATGAAAAGTACGAAATACGCCCTCCCGCTCCCTTTCCCACCGAATTTCAACGCGTTTTTAGCCGTCTAAAGAAAACCCATTCAAAATTTGGGCTTATTCATTCATTGGATTTACTACTTTGTTAACGTGTTCACATTATCAAGTGGATGGGCTTTTAAAAGAAAAGCTAAAAAAAGAGGTTAAGCAAAATGTTAATACCTTGAAGCATAAACAATCGTGAAAGTCTAAATGATAAGAATTTTATATTAATTTTTAAAAAAATTCAAAGTTTAAGTATATCGAATTAATTGTAATATATTTATCATTGGCGGCGTCCCCAGCAGATAATGAATCAATTTCGTCCTTCGTTCGATCACTTAGATATTGATTGCGACACAACAAATTAAAAGAAAAAGAATTGGTGTATTGACTAGTAAAGGCATAATGATAAAAAAAAAATTGTTATTAAGGGAAGATCTTCTAATGTAGAAGAAAAAAAAATATATACAAAGAAGAATTCATAAGAAAATCTGATATAACAATCACATAATAAGAAACTCAAAGTTATTTAAACCTTTTTTATATATATAATAAAATCTGATAACGATGTCATACTGTTAAAGAATCATCACTGGCCATCACGATAATTAATTTGTTTTTATCACGAGAACTAAACGTCCCGATATGCTTTCTTTAATCGAAACATACTAATAAAAAAAAAATCACGCCGACTATTATAAAGTTCTTTATAAAAAAAATTTGGTCAAATTAATTGAGACTTTCTATTGTTATTTCAGTACACTTGTTAGTATAATAAAGAAGATATATATATTTTACTAATATTAAAAGACTTTAATGATTTTACAACTGAACAGCCAACACTGTTTAAAGTGGTTGCGATCTATTGACAATTATATCATCAACGTCATTACACAGAATTTTGCAGCTTTAAGTCGTTTATGGTTTTGTCATTTGAAGTTATGAAGAGATCATAGTTAGATATACCAATTATACGATATAAATATATTATATACTTGATTTATAAGATCAGCAGCAATTCAGTGTCTTTCCATCAAGAAATATTTATCACCGAAAAACGTCATAATAGGAAAGAAATGAGATCTAAACAGCCGAAAAAGACTTAAGATGTTGATAAATCGAAATCAACACAAGTTGATTTGTAGAAAATATGAATTAGACGCTGAATCCTTAAAAGAACGTTTAGATTCAGCATCACTTAAAAACACAAAAGGGTAGCACAAATATTTAACAACAAACATTAAATAATTAAAGAGAGCAAGGTTTCAAACTGTTTCAAACGTTGTATCCAACACATTTGATTTTTATTAATAAAATCTTGATAATATGGGTAGAATAAAGATTATTGAGAAAATCAAGCCGTTATCCTGCTCTTTCATGAACACTCACTTACAAGCTCAATTATGACAAGTGATTGCATTGGAGTTTCGTTAGACGAAAACAATTTGAATACAAATCACGAGTTAGTGGCTTGCAGCATTCAAATTATATATATTGAAGGGATTGATTGGAAACTTTAGTTATTATTGTGTACAAATTCTGTATTAATCGTGAATCTAGTGAAGTTACGCAGTAGTACTGATTCTTGCTGTAACAACCGTTTCAGGATTTGAGCTGATGAAAGAAGCCTAGGCGGCTAGCCTTGATTCTTGGATACAATTATTCTTTATAGAAACCCTATTAAATTTACTTAACAACAATTCTGCAGTTAAAGAGTTTCGGGTTATTCACATTTTGGAACCGCTACGAGCCTCCATCAGAGTTTCCTCTGACTTCACCATAGTTCACCATCTTTCGGGTCCTAGCAGACATGCTCTTACTCAAATCTATCAAAAAATATCCTGATCGGTCGATGGTGCACAAAAGTGATCCAACCAACACATTTGACTAAATAAAAAGGCAAAAAAAAAAGAAATTATTTGTTAAATCAGGAATTAAATGAATTCAGACAATAATTTCAAAATCTTACATTTTCTAATGGTACTTCATGATAATTGAATCAACAGTCATACATAGTATGCCATCTGGTATCTATCCACTTTTTCAATTAACCTCCAGGCTTTAGAAAATTTTTAAAAAATAAATTTTTATCAATTTTAGACGAAACGTAAATTATATTACATAAAAAAATATATATATATATACCAATTATATTCATTGTTAAAGAAAGATTACTTTTGTCAAAGGATAGGAACAAGGATAGGAAGGGAACTTTTTTTAAAATATGTCACTGTAGTATTACACTTTGTTAAAATCCGATTTACAGGCAAATATCTTTTGAAATCAAATTAATAACATGTGCCATACAACGTACATTAAAGAATATTTTATATTTTTCTGTAGAATACTTGCTCCTGATTCCTGAATCTGTTACAGTTACTGAAAAATTTGCTGGACCAATTCATTAACAATTGTTTCGGATAAAATTCGCCAGTATGACTTTCACTTAATAGACGTATGAATTAAAAATTCTAATTGACTGTTAGGTTCAAGAACAAAATTAAATTAACATTAATGTTGGAATAACATACAAAATATCTTGAGAAAATTTAACAACATCACTAAATTTAGTCACCAATTAAAAAGAATTCACGTCGCCAGGTTTCGGAAGTTTCGGAAATTTCTCCAGGTTTCGACAGTTTCGGAATGAAACGAAGATCAAAATAGAAGTATATTACTAGTGTAACATATTTACATAATACTTCTACAGAATCAAAAAATGATGTAATTTTTATTATATTGTAGCTGACAGTATCACATGACTAGAAAATAATTTTTCATGAAATCCACTCTTGCATCTACGTTTGTAAAAGAAATTGACAACACGTAGAGGCATGAAACTTTTTTAACACTGAAAACCATTGTTAGCTTTATATATCATGAATTATACATTATACATATTGACTTTTTTGTCTTAAATTTGCACAATTATTAAAATTGAACCACATTTTATTGGCCGTATGTACAGTAACTCGGGTGTACTGAAACCTTAATCCTTTTAATCCTTTTTCTGTAACTGTAACAATATGTAATGCAATTTTAAATAAGAATATGACCGCAGACAAATTCTATAATATTTGTCACACGAGCATTCTGTGTCTAAAACTAAATCCAAAAACAATATAATACACATGAAACATTTTTATGTCACAAAAAAAGTTCTCGAATATTACGCATTAGATAATCATTTTTTTGAAAATGTAAAAGTTTCATTTCTTTAAAAAGGGATTAAAGAAAATGAAAAAGTTATTCAATGCACAAGTTTCAAACTAAATATTATAATATAAAACATTTTATCAAACTAAAAGTTAATAAACGAGAAAATTCTATTATATAAAAAATGATGATAAAAATAATATTCGGAATCTTTGATTTTAATGTATGATAAAATTTTAATAATTGATTTTGATACAGCCTTGATTTCCCAAACCAAGTTTATTGATTTTGATACAATTACACCTAACGGCCGACTCAGATTTGCCAACATAAACCGGAAATCGGAACATAGCATAATCATTGTATTTAAAGCCCCTACTATAAAAAATTTATATTAGGCACCTAATAATTATAACTTTTTTTTTATATATATAACATGGATGTATCTTGTTGGTTTTGACATTATAATTTTTTTCATTCTATTCAATCGTTTATACAATACTATTCTTCATACATAATAATCATTCATACTATTTATTCTTCTCTTCATCATAGCTATGGTTCAACTTTACTCAGATATACTTTTATTGATTATGCTCGAATTACAAGATGATCTTTCATCTTTACATTCTTGCGTCCTTGTGAATAGATCCTGGTCTAATATAGCCGTACCTTTCCTATGGAAATATATCTCTCGTAATGTAATTGCCTATAATCGTGACAGGGAATCACGTATAAAATTATATAAAGTAATAGCCAATTTTTTATCGATCGAATCAGAAAACCTTTTGATCAAAAATAATATTATACTGCCTTCATATAAATTACCAAGAAAACCAACATTTGATTACATGAATTGTTTTACTCAAATCACGACATTTTGGATTAAAGACATGGTGCAACTTTTTATTGAAGAAGATTCTATTCATAAAAAAAATTTATTAGAAAACCAAATTTACAATTTAATTTTCGAAAATTGTAAAAATGTGAAGCATTTTTATTTAAATACTGGTAAAGAATTCTATAAATTTCCAAGTGCGGGATCATTTTTTTTAAACCTACAATCTCTTGGAATTAGTTTTGAAAATAACATGGTAACTTCAAAAACATTATTCGAACTTGCCACTATTTGCCAGAATATAAAAAATTTAGAAGTTAATTATTGTAATGAGGATTCTGAAGGATTAGCTTCATTTATTGAAATGCAACATGATCTGCGGTACTTATTTTTACATTTTATTGATAATGAAAACAAATACCCACTATTAAGCAATGCGATCAAGAAAAAGGCTGCTACATTGAAAAAGTTTATAGTAGCACCACTTATCGATCCTGACTCATTTTTAAATTTAATAAATCTACAACATTTGGAGATTATTAATAATGATAGAAATGAACTTGATATCTGTTATATGAATGTAGACTGGAAACAATGGGAAGATTGTTTAGATAAAGTTTGTTTTCCAAAACTTCAATGCTTTGAAGCTACATTTATACAAAGTAGTGTTGAATGCTTAATAATTGAAAATTCCGATGAGAACATTATAGAAATTGATATATGCTATTCACTAGAATTTCAAGATTATCAGGCCGAAAATTTAAATTTAATTAAAGCAATAGCAAAAAATTGTCCAAATTTAAAAAATTTAAATTTGGATATTGACCCTAGAAATTTTTGTGAAATCAAAAGGATTTTTACTAATTGCACACATTTAGAAAAATTATCCTTTAATATAAATGTTTCAACACATTCCGACGTTGGAGACAACTTATTAGAAATAATAAGTAATGAGTCTCCTTCATCCTTACGAGAATTCTCTGGGGATGATTGGAATTTCTCAAAAGATGGTTTAGAAGCATTTTTTAAATGTTGGAAATGTAAAAAAAGGAACCCTATTAAATTTACTCATCATGAAATGGATTTATGGCCTGATGATCAAAAAAATGTGGTGTTAAAATATATGAAAGAAGGTGTAATTAAATTATAAAATTTTATTTTTCTTTTCTTTTTTTTATAATATATTAATTTTCTTAAAAGTATTATTTTTTAATAGTATAGAATTATTTTTTTATTTGCTTATTTTTATAAATAAAGTTAAATTTTCACTTTAACTGTTAATAGCTACAAAATTAAGTTTATAAAAATGATAAGCATAACAATGATAACATTATGTTGTTACATAAATGGATATGTACCAATGTCTACTGAATAATTTACATGGGTATATTACAACCCCGGTAATACACTTAAAGATCTTGGCATTTCCCAATTTTGATAATTTCGGTTCTAATTTTTTCAATAATAAAATTTAATATGAGGGTTTGATTTAGTTAGCCCAACGTTAACTTAAAAACGTTAATCTTTATTATTTTTTTTCCACATTTCGGTCCAGAATTGGTCATATGTCATTTTTTTTAACGATGACATGTGATACATAATGCATAATGCCCAATAATATAATCACGTGTACCTTCGCTTACAATAATTAAATTTTGATTAGATATCATTCGTATCATGTAAAATACATGAATCAAATTATTTTACATTCAAAAAAAAAAAAATATGTACTAAAATAAATTCTATTGTTTAATACATAAATATTTACAATTACATTTTTTTTAAAAAAAAAAATCAGATAAAGCGGTAATTAAGCAATGCAAATAGCCAGCGTAATCAGGTAACAAAAGCAATGACGTTCAATATTATAACTAAATTTTTATGTAATGTTAAAACGCGTAAAATAAAGATTTTCAATTATAATGTTACTCTTTCAATATCTGATTTCGATGCGTCGAACCGTGTTTTGTATCTAGCCTAACGTACGGGGTTTGTTTCTGATTTAACAACGTGATGATTATAAAAGATGACATTGCGCATCTTTATCAAGAAACATGAATTTGAACGAGTATAAAGTTTTAAAAATAATACGAATTGGCCAATTAAATGATTAGTAGCCAAACATAGTATTATTTATTTCTTTTAGTGAAAGAGAATAATTGAATTTTATCGGTCTCCTTAAATCGATAATTCCAATTTTCAGAAATACACGTAAACTTATAGTGGTAAAATTTTTGCTGTGTTTAAGTATTGAAAATTTTTAATAACATCAAAAAGAATAGATCTTATAAAATTGCTATTATCATAACTTTAAGGTAAATTTTACCCAAAAAATTCATCTCTCAGAAAATTGAATATTTAATGACTTGAAATCTAGTCCAAAATGATTTCAGTAAATTCAATATTTTATTAAATTTCACTACTAAGATTCAATAATTTGAATTACTCACAATCATGTGATTTTAATATTAATAATAAATTATAAATTACTTGTAGATTCTGATCATCAAAATAATTATTCATTAATACATATCCAACCCGCATATACAATTTTAACCTTTTTTCCTGAAGCGAGCCGGGGCTTGCATTTATAGAGTTGACTGTACTTCGCTTTTCAATAGGATATCTGCTACAATAGAAAAATCCGTCGTTATTAAAAAATAACGTTGTAGGAACCATGAAACAAAGTACAAGAAGCTTTAATGTAGTAAAAGAGGAGGTCGAGATATCGGTTCCGGAAGATAACGATGTAACAAGTTCATCGACTTAAGGTTTGAGCACAGGTATATCGTAGCTTTACCTTTTTTTGATCTTCAAATAAAGATTTGATTATGTTAAGTATCAATACTGTTTTTAATAGTCTTTAATAGTCTTTAAAGACACGACAAGTGAGACATTATTTATGATGGAGATAATGATGATGTGATGATGGTGATGATAATGATAATGATAACGATGGCATTCTTTTTTTTAAGTAGTGCGATAGTGGTATGGTTTGTGGATCATGCAGATCATGCAGATTATGTTATTAAAAATAATGAATCAAATCAAGCTGTATGGGAAGCCTATTCGTGTCAATAAAGTAAGCGGAAACATCTTGGTTTGCTTTTATTGTTTACTATGTAGCATTAACGCTTCGTCGTATTATTATTAGGCAACTTCGGACAAAAAGAATTTGGACGTAGACGCTTCATTATTTATAAGGAATTTGGATCCTGGTACGATACGTTCAGCGCTTTTGGTGTTATCGTACAGACTCCTGAGGTTTTAATATAGACTAATAATCGAATATCGAATTCATTTTACATATTTAATTTTATTAAGTCGAAATATTTAATTTAGATTGCATGAGATCCCGATACTGGTGATGGTAAAGGATATGGGTTTATTTCATGTGATAATTTCGATTCTTCAGATGCGGCAATTGATGCAATGAACGGACAATATCTGATGAATAAACCAATTACTGTATCATACGCGTTCAAAAAGGATGGTAAAGGCGAAAGACATGGAAGTGCAGCAGGTTCGTATTTCTTCCGAATTGAATGTATTGCTTTCAATGGGTGACCATTTTTTTTTTATTGGCATACCTTAGAACGGTTATTGGCAGCTCAAGCGAAGAAAATTAAAAATCTTTGTTTGCAAATGTTCGTCCACCTACTGTTCCACCTTCAATGATAGGAGTTCGCGCCTTCACCACGACAAATAAATACTGGAATGTCTCGTCCTGGCATATCACCTCCAATCGTTCTCCAATACGGAGGATATCATGCGCCCAGGGATAAATACACAAACAACAACACAACCATCGCCTAGAATATCTATAATGAACGGAGCTCAGGAGTATTTTTATTCGATATGTTGTTTATCAAGAAAACAGGTAAGGAATCTATGTATATAATATTATAATTTATTTACATTACAATGCTATATCACTTAATCATATTCATATTCACTCATTTTCACTTTATTATGCGATTTATTTTTTTGAGTGTCATAGAATACTCAATAAATTACAATTCGTATTCTTTTTTTTTTTTTTTTTTTAATATTATGGAACGGTTACTAACCGATCTTATTCTTTTTTTAATAGGTTCGGGTGGGAACTAAGATTTGTAAGTATTACGAATCTTAGCAGTATTTAAAAAGAAACGTTATACTATATTAACGTTTCTATTTCTTTATTTTGGCCTTCTTTCTCTCTTCCCCTCTCACCCTTCCCTCCTTCCCTCTCCTCTTTCCCTCTCCTCTTTCCCTCTCCTCTCTCGTTTTTCCCTACCATTCCTATCTTACTTTTATAGGGCGGTTCTTTGGAATTTTTTTCCGCTTCGGTGGTTTTCTTTTGTAGGACGTAGATCAGCGTCTTGGAATTGGTAAGTTTTATTTTTATTATTAATTTTGATTTTTTTTTATCAATTTTTTTTTATCTTTAATTTGTTTGTAGAAATCGACAGATTCGCACTTCCTGAATCGAATTGGTAGGTTGGAAACTGAAAAATAGGATCGATTGGTAAGTTTCAAAACAGTTCGTTTTGAAATTTTTTTTTAATTTTTGTTTTTCTGAATTTTTATTTAAGTCGGACTCGGACTTTATTTTTTCTTTAGGTATAGCGAGACGATTTTTAACGTTCGTTCTTTTCATGATGCGATCACATGATTGCGATACTAAGAACTGAACTTTGACTTTTTTTTTATTTATAGCTAATATACATATATATATTTAAGTGTTTAATAAATTTAATAAATTTTGAAATTGGAACTAATATTAAACTATATTAATAAATAAATATAAAAAGTTGTGTCGAATACATTACAGTACGAATAATGGACCACCATTAGACCGATATTCAACCTAGTCAAATTTAGGTTGAATTGTCCTATTTCAACTAGTGTATTGAAAGTAATACATTTAATTCGGAAGAACCTACTGCACTTCCATATCTTTCGCCTTTACCATCCGTATGAATGATACAGTAATTGATTTATTCATCAGATATTGTCCGTTCATTGCATCAATTGCCGCATCTGAAGAATCGAAATTATCATATGAACTAAACCCATACCCTTTACCACTACCAGTATCGGGATCTCATGCAATCTAAATAATCTAAATCAAATATTTCGACTTAATAAAGTTAAATATGTAAAATGAATTCGATATTCGATTAAAATTAGTCTATATTAATACCTTGAGAGTCTGTACGATAACACCGAAAGCGACTGAACGTATCGTACAACATTTTTTCACCGACACCAGGATCCAAATTCCTTATAAATAATGAAGCGTCTACGTCCAAATTCTTTTTGTCAGAAGTTGCCTAATAATACGACGAAGTGTCAATGCTACATAGTAGACAATAAAACAAATCAAAATGTTTCTGCTTACTTTATTGACACGAATAGGCTCCCCATACAGCTTGATTTGATTCATTATTTTTAATAACATAATCTGCATGATCTGCATGATCCACAAACCATAATGCCAATTAAACAGAAGACACCAGATTTTTCAATTATTAAACTTTCAATACCACTTGGTAAAAAACGTAGTTACAAGGAATTGAAGATCCAGAAAAGAGCTTTATTCAAACAGCTTTCCCAATACTCCTAATCTACATCACTTCTACCAAAATCATTATTTAGGTCCATATATATATATTGGTTGTAGCTTCTGAACTTGTAAGAAATCTAGGATTAATAAATGTGGCACATGATACCAACATAAATTTTTTTAACTTGGCGGCCTTCTTTGTTACCACGTCACTTAATAATGGTATAGTTCTTCCTCCTCTTCCTCCTATTCTTGTCACCATCACCACCATCGTTATCATTATCATCACCATCATCACTGACAATTTCGGCGAAACATTTTCCATATTATAAGAAGTTTCTTTAGTGTGTTTTGATTTTGTGAAGAGAAACGTAATGTTTAGACTTGGTAAAGCCTTTTGCGCTTGATTACATTAATAATGTTATTGGTTTATTTTATTCGTATTATGAAGATGATGGCAATACGAAAAGAAAATTGTTTTACATTATTACATCTATCAAAATTAATTTATAAATTTCTTCTTCTAGTATATTTTTTTTATTTTTTTTGTACACAGGATCCTCTTCATTGATTAAAAGGTTTACCCACATCATTAACCAAAAATGACCGAATAAGAGTAAAATAAAGCATGTATTCGGTCCTCTGGATCATTAGGTAAAAAATGGGTGATAGTATTATAGAGGTTTTTACGTATTTCTTGTTTAAAGTTTAAAGGAGCACATAAAAAATATTTCCACAAGATAGACATCGCTATCCGCCACCAGAACAGTTGTTTATATTTGATAATGTTTTTTATTTTGAATAAGGAATAAAGTTGTAAAGAACATATAAAAACGCTGAAATATTACTAAAACATGAAAAAAAAACTAAATTTCAATATGAAAATACCTATATTTCTTCGTAAAATATCGAAATTTAGGTTTTTTTCTAAGTTATATGATATCAATTTTGGAGAGTAAACGCATTTTGAAAGTAGACATAATAGACGAAAAAATTTTTTATACAGTATCAGTTTTTAAATATCATTACATACGCTAAGATTCAATTACTCACAACATGTGATACATATCAAGTATTGACCAACCCGCATATACAATTTTAAACTTTTTTTTCTGAAGTCTCGTTCTTAAAGATAGTTGAATTCATACAGTCAACTCTATAAATGCACCACTTATAAGTACATTCCCTTTCTAAATGCACACTTTAGTTCAGTCCTAAGTTTATATGACCTCTAATTATTTACTCTCTATCCTTTGTAATTGCACGCTTTTTTCTGGTCCCAAGGGGTGCATTATAACTGTACTTCGCTTTTCAATAAGATATCTGCTACAATAGAAAAATCCGTTGTTAATAAAAATAACGTTGAAGGAACCATGGAACAAAGTAAAAGAAGCTTTAATGTAGTAAAGAGGAGGTCGAGATATCGGTACATTCACTTCCAGAAGATAACGATGTAACAAATAAAGCAACGCTTCATTCCCCGCAAATGCTCATCGACCTAAGTTTAAGCACAGGTATATCGTAGCTTTACCTTTTTTTGATCTTCAAATAAAGGTTTGATTATGTTGTTTTTAATAGTCTTTAAAGATACGACAAGTGAGACATTAGCTTATTTTAGAGCGTATCAGGGGTCCGAAAACTGAAGAGCTGAAATGCCGAAGAGCTGGGACCTAAGAGAAAAGGAAGTTAAAACGAAGTTAAAGAACAAAAAAAGAGAACAAAGGAGCGCAAAAATAAGAACCCACCTGTATGTGAAACCGAAATGGCAAGGCACAGATATTATATATATATAATTAAATATTAACTGTTAACGTAGTTAACAGGTGAATCCTAGTATTGTTGAGAAGTGATGAATGCTACTCTCGTACTAAAGAGAACAGAAATGGAGTCGTTACTAACGGAATTGTTTCTACGGGATAACCAGTAAGTACAACCAAGAAAGTTACGTAAGTTACGTACGTCGACGCGATGTCCAAAAACTTGTCGTTAAAACATTTTCATTTTCTTTTAAAAATTTGAAGGTTACCGACCAAGCCACATCTCCTTTCATATATTTTGAAGACCTATTTAAATTGAGAAATTGTAGCCTAATACGAAAAAAAATTCTTGAAAAATTTTCATGTATACGAAATTTTAATTTACAATAATTTGAACATGTAATATTTTTATAAAATAATTCAATTTTTTTTAAAAAAAAAGTATGTTAATTACGAGGAAAGAAAGTTTAAAATCTTGTTTGCTTCTTCAACAGATTTAATAATAATTTTATTCATATCACTTATGATATTTGTATATATTACTACTAGATCCAAAATGGATCATAAAAATTATACAATATTAAACCTTGACTCAAAAAACAAAAAACTTAACGTAACTAAAAACTCTAATAAATTGCAATAAAAAAACAATTTAATTAATATATTCTAACTTCTTGAGATTTATTTAAGGGATTTATTTTATTTTTTATTTAAGGGATTTATTTATTTTATTTTTGCCATTCATTAGTTTTTTTATTCGTTAAATTTTTTTTACTGCACGAACCACCACGCCACCACCTTAGTTCCATAAACAACCCATATGATCGGGATCAGTTTTCGAAGGAGATACTCCATATACTCCATATCGACGGATCTCGGCAAAGTGTACATTTCGCGTGCTTCATAAGTCAAAGTAATTCCGTACTTTAAAAGACACGTTATTCTTTTTTTTACGTGGTTGTGGAATAATCTCTTAGTTCAAAGTTTAACGATTCTATAATTCTATAATTCATTTTGAATCCAATGCGTAATAGATACGAATGTCATATTTGACACGAACAAAACTATTATTAGTCTATTATAGAAGCAGCATTGCGAATAAAAAAATGTTTATTATGAAAAGTATTTACGGGATAGAAGGATTTTTAATTATAATAGTTTGTTGTGACAACTTCAACCCATTTCGCAATTTCGTGGTATTTTAGTTCGAATCTTGGAGATAGTTTATCCTATTTATAAGACAAAAACCACTCGATATGTCATATGATCCCATATTTTAACAAATTTGGTTAGTAATTCTGTTTTTCACAGGAAAAACTCTGAATTGATTATTTTTAACCATTTAGGTAAACATTTCCCGATGGGCTGAAGATATCAAGCATCTAATTAAGCAATTTGACTTATCCCGATTGAGAAACAAAAAGCCTAACGTTAATATTAATCATGTTTAGAAACAAAAGCAGATATCATAGCTTTTGTTCCTAAATATGACGGTGACGCAAATTATGTTCACAAAGCTCTGTCATACCTTCGAAAAAACCTTCGGATCAACCGTAAATAAATAAAATATTTTGACACAGAAAGATACTCAATTTTGAAAATTTTAATATGTGGTCATGTGATGACGATTTTGACCAATCATAATATTAAAAACTGACTAGTTAATGATGCGCGCAAAATAAAGTCATTAATTATAATACGTCGAGCCGCGTTTTGTGATTTATACGTGATGATTATGACATAGTAACTAAAGAAAATAATTATCGATTAAGAAAACCTGATAAAATTCAATTTCAATTTCAGAAATGCGCGTAGACTTTATGGTAAAATTTTTGCTGAACTTGTAAAGCGTGATTAATTTTCGGTTTTAATAAAATCTGAAACATATAATATTATAAACTTTAAATTATCATAACTTTAAACATTGAAAAAAAACATTTAGATTATTTTACACGATATCTAGTCCAAAATGATTTAAATTCGGGATACGTAAATTTAAACTCAATATTTTTATTAAAGAAATTATAAGGTTTGATAAACTTCACTACTTAAAAGACATATATAACTTTAAAATTTGGAAGGACATTATTAGTTTATTATTGCAATCCATGAATTAATCTAATTCACTACAATATGCCCGGACTCGGCCTCATTTCAATAAGTTCAATTAAGCAGTAATTTCAAATATAAATTATAAGGGTGAATCAATGAAAGGTCCTTGATATTAGCCGAATTTCTTTTCTTTATACAATTAATTTTATTTCATTTAAAACTTTCGACATACATTTACAGTATGAATGTTTTTTGAACAACTGTCGTTCATATAAATGGAAAATGTTCAGCGAACTTTTTATTTAAACTCGCAAGATTAGATGCCATTATGGGTATTATTCCAGCAATATTTCCTTATCTCAATAAGTTATTGTAATAGAATCTTTAAATACAATTTGACCATTCACATATAATTCATATATTTGATTGATGACGTTACTATTTGTAAACTTTAATACGTTTTCATTATTAGCCAAAAAATGTTTGATTGAATCAAGGTATTTCTTTTTAATACAAGTTTCATTGGTTTACGATAATTCTTTGCCAGTTTCTTAATGTAAATGTTTTTTCGTAAAGTCTTAGTTAAGGCATCAAATATCAACTTCTTTACACCAAATTATGCATTAAGAGCACCAGCACCTGATGTGGAAGGTATGGCCATACCCTGTTGTATAAGGCAAGTTATAATGATTAATTATCAATTTCTTTATGTTTACTCTTGCTTTTGGAGATGCATGTTCTTTAAAGTATCTTTTTATTTAATGACTTTGTTTCATCATATCAATACTATCATGGTAAACTTTCCATGCGGATAGCAAGTTAAAAATCAGTATTATCTTCTCGAATAAATTCGTCCACATCCGTTGGTCGAATTGTAAATTCTCTCTCGTTGCAATCGTCAGCCTTGACGATTTGAGTTTTTGAGCATTGAGTGAAGATACTTATCAATTTAATTAGTTCGGCGATACTACTCCTATCACCAGTAAAGCATATCATTAATTTTACCCATTAAGATAAGTGTTTCTTTCCCGTACTTCATTTACATGCTCTTTACTCAAAGCTTTATCATTGAGTGGCTGAAAAAACAATAATCGATGTATTTTTTTGTTGCTACTTTGATAACGGACTCTTTTTTATTTCGAATGCCATGCCACCGGAATTAAGAACCACTTTGCATCCTTGAGTATTTGCAATTGTTAAAGAAAGTACCGCTCTCCCACTACAATAAACTACAATTAGAATAGACAAAAAGAAAACCAAAATCTCCTCATGGATCTATTTCCAGAGGGGAGAATTGGTTTCCTTTTAACAATAAATTTTAATAAGATGAACAGATGATGTCTTTCCGATTCCAAGATTCCACAATTAACATTGCAGCTATCCATTCTCTACTCTTATATTTAAACCCTTTTCTATCCCACTTGCTTTTCATATCGAAATTTTGATTACCATATTTCTGTTCATAATTGAGCAACAAGCGACTGCAGTAATAGAAGCTTTGGATTTAGAAATTTTGGATTGAGATTTTTTGTATTAACATGAAGAAAATTTCCTTGGTCTTGAATCCTGTTTGATCACAACATACGAAGTTTTAAAAATTTAAAAATTTGTAAAGTAATACGGCGCTTATGATGTTGATGATATCTTTTAATTTCTACAGATTCCATAAATAGATCGCCAGCAGAAAGTCTTCAGTTTCATGCGCGTTTCTCGTTCTTGCCTCAACCAAATCACCTTTACATTTCTTACAATAGCGCTCGTTCAAGTATATCCAAATAAAGATTTAACTGTGCAATATTATTTATCAAAATCAGAGAATTTCATAGAAAGAGAGTTGGTATGACAACTACAGGAATTATAACAAGATCTTTCGTGGCTCTGAATTTTTTGAATTTGTTTGATGTTTTCGTTTAGCTTTTGATTTCTTTGCTTTTTTTTTAGATGTCGTGTTTGTTTTAGTTTCATCGGCACGATTCTGTGGGAATGGATCTGTGCTGGACGAACCATCATCAAATGGTGATGATGTTGAGAATGACATTGATGAATCATTTCTTCGCAATAACTCTTTTGGATTTTCTTCAGGTGGTGTGTAGACATGGGAGATCTCAGGAGATGATTTGGAAACTTTCTCTTGATAAGAACTTTTTCTATATCCGCCATAATCGGAAATAGTTTTAGTAGTGACCTCAAGGACAGGACTGCGTACATGCCAATGGCCTCATAGGGAATGTTAGAAGGACACCATGACCCTTAGTTGAAATGTGCGGTTATGAAAACTCAAATTATTTTCTGTTGAAACATCGACATGAGAAATACTGGATCTACTCTGTAAATCATTTTTAGTTTCCGAATGATTGATTTCTAATTTTCTGGTGGTGCATCGCAAATATCGCAAATTCTCATTCTATATTTTGATTCAGTGGAAGGAATCTTGACATGTTCAAGTTCATTTTGCTATTAGTCGATGACTGTGGTGAAGGAGGTTGCGTAAAAGATTCGATTGAAAGCACGTTTCTGTATTTTAAGATATTTCTTTCGATTAATTTCTTCAGCTTTTATAGAAATTGTACTGATCCCTGCCGATTTATCTTGAACTTAATTAGAAGTAATATTTTCGTCATCGAGAAGATTTAATCGCACGATTATTAGAAGATTATATAATACTATCTTTTGTTCACGTTTCGTTTTCTTGGGAGGTAAAGTGACTTTGATTATTCTTCTCAAAATCACCATCATCACCAATCTTTGTTTTTAGAGCTTTTCGGTTATTGCTTTTGGTGTTATTTCTGTAGTTTTTCTCGAATGCCAGGAGTTCATCACCATTTACTTTCATCTCATCGCCGTTTCTCGTAAATGTTTGAGAAGTTCTGCTAGTTTTGGATCTTTGGAAAAGTTCCCTATATAATGGGCTATTTCCTGCATGTTTTACGTACGGATGTTTGGTTTAAAGTGTTGATAGGGATTATTGGAGTTTGTTCTTTAGATGGTTCAATAATTGATGAACAACATCTTTGTGAAGAAAATCATAAAGTAAAACTTGTTGTATTAGAGCGCTTGTGTTCTTTCCTTAGTCATTAACATTGATTCATTTTTAAATTTGGTGTTTTTTTTTCGATTAAGCCGTAATAATTGAGAGCGATATAAAGTAAATTTTGAAGCAGAAGTTTCTTGTGAAGTAGAAGCTTTAGAGCATTCTAATCAACGAGTTCTTCGTCTGGATCCCGGCGAATTAGAATTAATTATTATAATTAAGAATTCTTTATTTGTAATATATAATCAAGTGAAGTTGTTACAGTATATCTATAGGGTCTTATTGATGTGAATAGATAGCATCGTTTTTGCGACATCCGGGTGTGTTTCGATAGTATTTCGATCAAATACGTTCAATACGTTCATGGATTTCACTAACTGCGGTACGGTAACCCGCGTATTTTAAAGCGCAAGTAGTAGGATCTAATGATCGTTCAGTATACCAAAGGTATAGACTAGATGGCATCGTTTTCGATCCAATGCCGATATGAAAAGGCTGATAGTTTGTTCTGAAATTTGGTACCGTGTCTTGATATAGTACACGCGAGAATTTTCCACTTTGGATTTCGTAGTGGTGTCTCCTCTCTATTCATTAGCTGACTTAATATAATAAATATAAAATAATTTTTCATCATTTTGATTCTTATTTACTTAAAAATTTTTTCAACCTTGTTTATAAAGAAAAAAGAAGGTTAAAAAATCTTTGAAAAATAAAGAAACGTACCTACTTTTAATTGAATTAGGAGTATGATCTTAAGCAGTTAGGTGACTTCTCAGCAATAATATCGACCAACATTTGTAGCATCTTAAACAGCAGATCACTATATCTAATCGGAGGAGAAGGAATAATATTAAACGGGAGCGGTCTTGATAGAATTTCCTCCGAAATAAATCCAGGAATTAAAAATTTTGAAGGTCTTGTGGCGATTTCCCAACTCCTTTCAACAGGATTCCATATCTGGAAAAAATTTAGAAAATATGGATAAATTTCACCGTCTTCAAGTTCCGCCTGTAATTAGATAATGTTAACCATTCTCCCCCAAAGACCCTTTTATAGACCGCTGGTAGGGTCCAGCTTAATGATAATGGGAGATAGGGCCAATCCTCTTCGGTGCAATGCGCTAGATGCATTGCCTTGGTTAGTCCCGCAAAAATACCTACAAATACGTAATAGGCAGAAGCCAGGGATGAGAGCCGATCGAGAGGTATTTGAAATCATAATTTCATAATTTTCAGTGATTAAATACATTCTATCATAAATAACATAAAATAAAGTGTTTAGTTCGATTGTATTAATATGTATTCTTATATAAAATACTTAATAAGACTTACCCAAGTACGCAATATCGCGCAGGAACCTTGACCCTGGAAATTGAACATTTATCACTGATAATTATTGTTATTGCTGACGGCTGTTTGTTGACATAATTATTCAACAAGGATTTGACCGAATTATCAGTAGGTCATACTTGTCATTCTATTTATAACTCTTTCCGCCCTGTAAAATCAACCAAAACCAACGATTTACATATATCAATATTTTACTTAAACAAATCATAAAATTTAAAAAAATCTACCCATGTGATCATATTATTACGCGCCCTACGCGCCCGTTACAGACATCTCTCTTTGCTCCAAACCCATCAACGAAGTACGCGTATACTGCATTATCTTTATGGTATACCCCACTCTGATACGCTCTAAAATAAGCTAATGTCTCACATAACTCTTGTCATATCTTTTAAAGACAATATTAAAAACAGTATAAATTAACCGATACTTAACATAATCACATCTTTATTTGAAGAACAAAAAAAAATAAAGCTACGATATACCTGTGCTCAAATCTTAGGTCGATGAACATTTACGGGAGAATGAAGCGTTGCTTTATTTGTTATAGTTATATCGTTATCTTCTGGAAGGTGAATGTACCGATATCACGACCTCCTCTTTTACTACATTAAAGCTTCTTGTACTTTGTTCCATGGCTCCTTCAACGTTATTTTTTATTAACAACGGGTTTTTCTATTGTAGCAGATATCCTATTGAAAAGCGAAGTACAGTTAACTCTCTATAAATGCACCCCCCCCCCCTTGGAACCAGAAAAAGCGTGCAATTACAAAGGAGAGAGAATAAATAATTAGAGGTCATATAAACTTGGGATTGAACTAAAGTGTGCATTAGGAAGGGAATGCACTTATAAGTTATAAGTGGTACATTTATAGAGTTGACTGTATGAATTCAACTATCTTTAAGAACGAGAGGAGTGCTTCGCTTCAGGAAAAAAAGTTTATGTGGTTGGTCAATACTTAATGAATAAAAACACGTGATTGTGAGTAATTGAATCTTGGCATGTAAAAGCTTCTAGCCGGTACTTTTTATAAAGCAAAAAAAAGTGGCGCAAATTTAGGCAAATTTTGACTAATTGGTAATGTTTAGGAATTTTTTGTAAAATTTTTTTTATAGTATCATATTAATATTAAAATACTTGAATAAAAAAAGATATAATCTCAAGATTTTTTTCAACAAAAATTTTAATTTGATTAAAAATTGGATTTCAAATTTGCTCTATCCATCACATGCGGATCGGCAATTAAATTCTCAAACCAAACTATAATCCTGTAATAACCCAAATTAATAGTCCTTACAATCCTCATAATCAAGAATTTTTCCCATTATGCTAATGATTAATCATACCGAAATGGCCAATTTGTAACGAGTCTTTGGATCTAAACGCCCATCTCACATATAAAATTTTTCGTTATGTATAGTTCTAATTGCTTCCATAATTTGGGAAAGGCAGCTACAATTCGTTCTCTTCTAATTATACTGTTGGAGACTTTTAGCTCTGTGTGCGGTCGTGTTGTTAACGGAGACGGTTCTTCACTATCACTATAAATGAGTGTTTTATCAGGACGTTTATCTTTCGATCTTTAATTAATCATAGCGGCGCATTTGGGATCCAAATTAGTTCCTTGGAACTGGTAATAAAGAAATAGACAATTGAGTAAAAAACGCCGTCATTTTAGAGATGTTATGCGGGATCCTCAATGTAACCATTTGTGTGTAGAGGGCTTTAAATTCATCAGAAGAAGCTTGATAGCCAGTTAATTTGTCAACGAATGTCTTTATTGCAGATTCTGATAAATTAGCAGAGTCCAAATGCTGTTGTGATAACTTAATAACCAAATTGTGTAATCGTCGGTGTAATTCCTGTCTCTGACCCGAGTATGAATGACAATCCATAAGGTGTTGTGAGACTTCAATAATATATACTCTTGGTATGACGGACACTTTAGGTCTGTGTAAAGATTATTGTTTCTGCGTTTAAGTATATTTGCAGTCAGGAGAAGGCTATAAAATAATTTAGTAATGAATAAAAAGCGCCATTGGGTCACATTTAAAGCCTTTGATTTGTTTGAAAATCGACCATGTAATATCCCAATCAATGTTGTCCATGTCTGTCCCATGCTGTCGTTAACGAAAAGTAATGAATGTTCTGCCGCGACGTGAGTCTGAAAAATGGGTTTCCCGAATTTCTAAATTTCTGTTCAATTGGAAATCTTTGAAAATGAGGAAAGTAACGCATATTAAGGTAACTATAGTTAAAACTATTATTAAAATGTCACTACTTCTTTAGCTAAAACATCCACTTGTTTTTAACAAATTTAAGATCTATCTTTTTTTTTCTAAGTAACAATGCTACTTTAATTAATATCAATACATTATTTCTTTTTAACCACTTTCTCGTAGACATATATTGAATCCGATTAATGGAGTGAATTGCAGCTTGACTATCTGTGTAAATGGTAAGGGCCAGACTGAAGAGTGTCATCCATCGGTATAGAATGTTACTGCCGATTTGTGTTTCAGTTAATTGAGTGACTGTTATAAGCTCATGTTTCAGTTCTTGGTTATCAATCCACCTCTCTATCCATACACATACGTCCGCTGCATCGTGGCAATAACGACTGACATCATATTTTGTGTCTTCTATTGTTTCTGTATCCATTTACGTTTAGGGCACTGTCAGATAATACCTAATATCACTTTAAT